TTTAGGCAGGGGAAGGAGGTACGCTATCTGACTTCTCTTTCTCCTGCCTCTTAAGTTTGCTTTTCTGAACAGTTTTACATTCTACATACAATTTTTTAATTTTCATTTAAATTTAAAACAGAAAAATATAAAACAGAAAAATTGCAAAAGATACAGAATTTCACTAAACAAAATAATATGAATTTCACAGTATTTGTTGTGTTGCATAGTGTTGTCTTTAAATTAGTTGTTTACATTATGCATGCAAACTTAGAAGAAGAAAGAAAAGAAAAAAGAAATATATAAGAAATGAAGGAGAGAAAAAGGGAAAAAATGAAAAAAAGAGACGAAACAAATTAAGCATTTTGTATTGTCATCCATTTCCACAGGTTTAACTATTGGGTCTTATTGATGATTCTTATGTTAACTGACTTTTAAAATCTCTAATCCATTGTTTAGAATTGTTTTCTAAAAATTCCTCCGAAGAAAAACTCTAAAGAGAATAAGCCAGTCTCTCTTAGTACAGATACAGTTTCTAAATTGCACGTATCAAGTGTGAGTTCTGTAATGTTCCGGTTATCATGTTCAAAACCGCCAACAGCCTTGGCTTCTCCTTTCTCACCTTGTACCAGTAGCTAACTCTTATCCATTTTTCTATAAAAGAGCTGTATCATCCCATTCCTTTCTAATTCCATTGTTTTCTTCCTCAGTCATATTATCCTATGTATAGGACAACTACCGTTCTATTGGAATAATCCTGCTAAATTTTCTGAAAACAAGACCTTGGTAATTTTGTTCATTTTCTCATTAATCATTAATATATGACCAGAGTCTGCAAAATGAAGTCTAAACATAATGATTCTGGCAGTTAGCCACTGTCCTTCCCCTTATCTTCTGAGCCTACTTCTTTCCTAATTTGATGTATTGAATAAAGCTAAGAACATAGATTACATCTCTATCTTGGCAACTTTTCTTCACTCTGAGCTTTGTTGATGGATACTACCCTTAACTTACTTCTAAAACCATAAAGGTAGCCAGGCATGGAGGGGTGTGTGTGTAATCCAGCACTTCGGGCAGGCTGAGGCAGGAGGATCACAAGTTTGAGCCCACCCTCATAGACTTAATGAGTCCATGAATCTTACTGTTTTAAAAAAAGGCTGAGCATGTAGCTCAGTGCACATGTCCTGTGTTCATCTCCAGTACTGTGCAAACAAACAAACAACAAAATCATAAGAGCACTGATCATGAGAAAACATATAAAAACCTATTAAAATTGGGAAAAAATGTCCAGTAGTATTTTCTCCTGACAGTTTAAAAGTAGCTGTTCATATATTGGAGCAAAATATACTTGATCATGAACTACTGGGTTCCTTATTTTAGTTATTATTTCACTTTCAGAGTGACCCCCTACACAGTTTTTGCTGATGTGCTAGCGATAAGTTTATACTTTGCGTGTGATGCCAAGATTTCTTTGAGAACGAGGAAAGCCAGCTAAGCAACAAGGAGTTGTTCAGACCAACACTTAATGGGAGAAGTGATATGGGTTATGAGCAACTCAAGAGTAATTTCAAGGTGAGATGAGAACTTGAAAATCAGTGGGAAGCCGGAGAGAGGACTTCCAGTAGGAATTGATAAGCATTAGGGAGGAAAACAATTTTGCTTTAGAGACACTTCAGATTGATTGCAGGAGAGAGGGCTAGAGACCAGGGAGAAGAAGAAGGAAGAAATTGCAGTATGAGTCACAGAAGAAAAATTGTCAATGTAAGTGTGAGGATTTTTTTTTTTAATAGCAAGAAGATACTAGTATTGAAATAGGTTGTCCAAATTGACTCACCTCAGGGGAGTTAAGGTGACAAACTAACCTCCTGGTGACAGATGGTTTGCTGTTGCCTTTCAAATAAAATGTGAAGCAGATCTCTTTGGTAGGAACAAATATAAGAATTTGAAATTCACTTGGATTTCTGGAATGAAGCTTAAGTTCTTGGGTCTTTAGACACATTGGAGATACCTTATAAGTCCTTGATTAATGTATTTGCTTTTGTATTTGTAAACCAAATTATAAGTGATAATGAAAACAGCAATCATGTGAAGCTGGTATTCTTCAGCTTTCCATCTTTCTACCTGGATGCTCGATAGCAGATATGGTGTTAGGTCCAACAAGGGAGGGTCATGGTGGGAGAGGATTTCTCTTAACTCACAATGGCAAAGTTGTGTCATTTTCTTGAACTTCAGGGATGAGGAAGCTGAGATTAATAGGGTTTCCATGACCTGGCTGAGGCCCTGGGGCTAGTAACGTGGGATCTTGATCACAGATTCTCATTGCCTTTCTCTGTACTGTTCTATTTCAGAATGGCTCATGGCAGTTGGACATTTCCACTTGCAAAGACCTCACCATCTTCTTGTTAGTGGGAGCTATTAACAAGGGGGTTTCTTCCCCCTTTCACTTTTTGAATATTTAGCACCTTGCCAATGTGTTTACACTCTGCTGTCACTGAGTTGTAGCTTCAGGGTTTAGAAATTCCCTTGTAGTCCTTTAACACCCCAACTTCACAGTGCCCTCATTTCTCACAACAATCACTCTCCAAGTCTTGTTGGTTTTACTTCTGTTTGCTGTCTATGAACACTGCCATGACTGTAGCTCAGAGTTAAAATTCCTTTCTTTGGGAATACTGGAGGGGTCTGTTCATACATTACCTGTTTTGAAGAGGTTTTTTATTTTCTCTAGTTCAACATTTATATTGCTGCCAGATGCATTTGCTAATATCAGATTTGGTGTTTTGTGTTTCTACTCAGTAACCCACAGGGACTTCTGTCTAATAAATAAACCTTAGCCTAATGTTCAGAGATTTCTATCCAAACTCCCCGGCATGATCTGTCTCCAACTACACCTAAAACACCATTTCCTTTTGCTGTTACCTATCATGACCCCTTCTTTCCAGGCAAATTGAACTCTGAGCCATTTTCTGTATCAGATCCATATTCTTTGGCAGTTTCCTCTCTGATTTTTCCCTCTGCCTTACATAATCATTCTTGGCTCTGAGATTGTTCACCTTGTCAGTTTCCAGGTGCTTCTGTCTGCCTCTCTTCAGTATCTTTCACATCTGCTTCCTTTTTTTGGCTTCTGTCTGTCATTGACCTTGAGCCCCAGGTCTCTTCTCTCATGCTGCTGCTCTGATCATTTTGCTCTTGTAGCAATTATTTCCCAGCTTAGAAACTTTCCTCTCCACTCCATTTGCTGTCGCGAGCTCTTTAGCAGTGGCAGTTGAGTCATGGCTTTGTCTTTTTCGTGTCCTCCGCATGCTTATTTCTTGGTCTAGTATTCTTTTGTACTGAGTGCCCTGGTTCTATATGTGTAGTTACATTGTTGCTGTCTGCTACATTACTCTTCTAGAATTTTCTCCCCTGCCTCTTTCACCTTACACACTTCCAGTTTATTATTTTTCCTGCTATTCAAGCATGAAGCATTTTCCTGAGCAACACAGACAGTGAATCTGCCATTTGTGTGTGTGTGTGTGTGTGTGTATTTGTGCATGTTACAATGTTACTGGCTTTCTTATAATGCATGCAATAGTACAATGGCTGTTTTGCATGTATAGCTTTCATTTCAACTGGATGCATGTGGGGTGACATCGTATACCTACTTATAGCGCTAGCACTTATAGTGAAGTACAATAAATATTCATTTATGATTTGATGGAATTTAAATAAGCCTCAGCGTATTCAAGTCCAACAGATGCTTGCAGCCTCATCTCCACAGAGTGCTCTTTCCTGGGACAGCCTGTAGACACGTCTTTTCTTCTGCCACCAGCAACTGGGGAGGATCCCACCTTCCTGTGATGTCTAGACTTACACACATAATTTCCATTTTGATGACTGGGGGAAACCTTTTGTTGTTTGTTTTAGGTTATAAAATCTGTTAGGAAAAAATTTAGTTAATCATCTTTTATCTCGTAACATTGAGTATGTGTGGTGTATGATGGTTAGAATGCAAATGTGTGAATAAAACGAATGGAATGTACATCATTAATGGATATTGTCTGGAAAACTCAGAGAAATGGAAAACTTTGGACTAATTTATCTTTTTCATTTTTCATAAGTTTAATAGATAAGAGTTCAAAGATAATAGGTTTCCTGACTCTGGGACAATGTTTGCTATATTTTCAGGTATGTTACTCTTTGTCTTCAAGTGCATATTACCATACAAGTCTTTTTGATATATTATATGGTGAATTAATAACTTAATTTTTGCAGTATTAATCATGTACATTATATTTGTTACATAGGTATTTTAAATATATCAAAATAACACCCTAGAAAATCTCTCCAGATAAGGAAGAAACCATAGAATTATTACAGAATAAAATTTTCATATTAAACATACTCACTGATATTTTTAAGAAGGAACTGTAAAAAGAAACTACACAGATATTTGCATCTCTTCCTAGACTCATTTAGAAAAGTAGTGCATGTTTGATACTCTTTTAAATTTCAAAATCAACACATGATTATACACAAAAATATAAACCATCGGGGCTGGTGAGATGGCTCAGTGGTCTAAAGCACCTACTTAGAACAAGCTTAGCAAAGCACAGGGACCACGGTTCAATCCCCCAGCACCACATGCCAGCCAGCCCTGTCCCCTGGTGGGCTGAGCCGGCCCCCCCCACAAATAAATAAATAAAGATATTTAAAAAAATATATATAAACCATAAATAGTGTCCATTTTAGCCAAGTAGTTATATTTTTATAAGGAGATCACATTGTTAATTTGTTTCTCTAACTTTACATGTTTTCCCCATGAATACTACATTCATGAATAATATGAATTTGCTATCATTCACATTTAATATAGATAATTTGATCTATTCTTTATGAAAAACTGGGAATTGTCGAATGTTGAAAGGTTATTATTTGAGATAAAAGCAAGAACATGTCATTGTTTTCAACTGCATAAAGTGTTACATTCTCAGAAAATCTGAAGCATAGTTTCTAAGTGCCTTTTAATGTTTTCTGCTTAAAAGGTGAATAAGATTTGTGGCCGTCCAGTGAGAACACCCACACAAAGCCCTCCTTGTTCTTTTGATCCAAATAAAGAGACACACGGAATGAAGATCCCTGTAAGGAATGGTGAAGAGACGCTTGCCAACAGAAGAAAGTAAGACATTTGTTTTACAACCAGAAAGAGAAAAGAAAGTAAGCCATTAATTTTACAACAGAATAGAATGTATTCATTAAGTAGACACTAATACAGAATGGAAGGAGAAGATTTCTTTAAAATCCAGGGGTTCCACCTGCTCCATTACTCTGGAAGATAGATTCAGCTTATAAGGCCAGTAACTATTCCTATGAGAACAGAAGTGATTCTGTATTATAATACGGCAGATTGTGATCAAAGTGTGTTTAAAATGATTAATATGACTCAGGATTGAATTCTCAAGTTTACCTTTAGTTAATTGTGATCTAAATTCTACCTATGGCTGATGATAACTGTATTGGACAGTGTAAGACAAAATATATTTATGTGATATAATAAGTACAGCTGAATATTTAGGATTTCTTAAATATGTTTGGATGAAAAGAAATTTTCATAGTTTTAACCTAGAATGATGAAAATGATTGCTTATCCGAAATAATAAGGATTAGTTAGGGCTTGCTTCTATAACTCACTTTTCCATTATTATGCCCATAATTATTTCACAGTTAAATTAAAGCCTTCATCATGTTCATTTTCTTCATAATTGGTGCTTAAGCTCAAAAACCTTGAAACGCTAGGAAATGTTACTTTTTTCTGTTTTAGGGAAGGGTCTACAGGGTGTTCCGGGTCTCACTACTAGATTGGACTCATAGTGATCCACCTGTTTACAGCTTCCCAAGTGCTGGGATTACAGATGTGCATCACCATGCCCAGTCTCAATTGCCCTCTCAGTGCACCCTGGGGGTGGGTCCGGCACAGCAGGCCCAGGGATCAAACCTCTGGCCCTTGTTCCTGCTTGGAGGCACTTTAATCTGCTGAGCTATTTGGCTGGTCCTTACTTTTTATATTTAGTAAACCAATGTATGCCCTGGAAATACTAGGTTCTGAGTGTTTCTTGAACTGAACTGCAATTCAGAATTTATGTATTTATTTATTTGTTGAAATAATCACTCATGATAATAACATAGAGATGATTCATACCTGAAATATTTTATTACCTTAATGTCTATTGTCCAAAGCAGATTTCTTTCACTTTTGGAGATAGCACATTGAATGTCTCATTTGTCCCTCAGACAGTCTATAAGCACTGGATCCAGATGAGTCTGGGGCTATTTGTGAACCGCAGAAAGGAACTGACACTTTGTGTGCACTACAGCTTCACTCCTCCTCCTCCTCCTCCTCTACCTTCTCCTGCTCCTCATCTCCTTCCTCCTCCTCTTCCTTTTCCCCTCTCCTTCTTCTTCCAAACACCTATAATGAATGATCACCAGTTATTTCTTGCATTTGAAAAATCATTGAATTTTGTCTAGGGTGGTTCCTTATCATCAACAACAACCCCAGCTGAGGAAGATTTTGAAGGAGATCTTGCAGTTTCACTCTTCTATGTCTCCAAGTAGTCAGCAACCATCATCCACCATCCATGAATCAGGACAAATATGCCACTAGCCCAACTTGTACCACCCAAAGTACATGACGAGGAAGACTGCTCTTAAGCCCATTTAATCATTGCAGTGTCACACTACTTTTTAAGTTATCACTATTTAAATTATCACTAGTAGGTAGTGGTCAGTTGTCATGGCAACATATTTTGGCTTTTGTTTATATGTTGTGCAGACCTATCCATATCCTAGCTCTGAACTTTATTTATTCCTCATCAACTGATTATTTCCCAAGAGGTAATAAATTTCCACTGAAGTAGGTGGTATGGTACAGGAAACGAGGAACTCAGTGTGGGCTTCATTTTTATGCATCTGACTGGTGCTTTGTCCACTCTCTTAAGCCTAATCGTGAACAGATCACCTCTGCTTGATCCACTGTTTCTCCATTAACTAACTGAGTCTTATAGCCTGGCATATCGAACAAAATTTAGTTCATCACAGGCCTCTCAGGTTGCACATTTAGTTCTGTGATTGTTCCAAATGCGTAGTTTCTAGGCAGGCTCAGTTGTTGCCAACTTGCCTAACCAACAACCCAGCCACCAAACTGAATGAGCAATTTCATAGATGTACCTGGGTCATCTGACTCCAGGTCAGAGCCACTTGGCAATGAGCAAGCAACAGAAACTTTTCTTTCTCTCATGAAACTTTTGGGGCCTATAAATAGGCTACAGGAACAGCTCAGGTGTGTAGTTGTTTTCTCCAGTATGCAATGGGACACAGAGAGCATGTTACTTCTTCCTGAGAATTGGCTCACCTTAGATGTAGAGGATAGTTCAAGGAAATCCGGAGTCTATGAAATCCTGATGACTTGTCAAGCACCAGAAATGTCAGTATTTTTCACCACCAGAGGCATGTCTATGTGTACTGTTATCTAGAATGATGTGATCAATATGTTGTTTCAACACAGTGCCCTGCAAGGTGTCTTGGCATTCGTGGTGCCCGTCTGTCATGGGCTGGGCGAACTGTCCCAAGGTATAGCAGTGAAGGAGCACTGTTGGCCTGGCCAGGTGAAAGCTTGATTATCTTTTTTTTTTTTCTTTCTGCATTTGGTATAAGATCTCACTATGCAGATCAGAAATCTCCTGTTTTCAGCCTCCCCAGCGCTGGGATTACAGGCTTGTGTCAACACACCCAAACTTTGCGGCTGGTTCAGCCTGCCCAGGCATGGGGCTGGTGTAGCATGTGGTGTTGGGGATCAAATAAGTCAGGCATTAGCTGGATGTCAGGTGTCAGTACTTATTTTGATATGCCCTAGTGGACACCACATAAAGGAACATCTGCGATGGTAGTTGACCTGTGACCTTGTTTATCATACACCAACCATCCTCTAGTTTTCAAAGACCAGCCAAGCAGGTGAGGTAAGTGCTAAAACTTAGGAAACACCACCTTCACATTTCTTAAAACTTTTAGGTGGTCCTAACTTCATCGGCTCTTAGGGATCAATTATTCTTTTGTTTTACTACTTTTGTAGGGAGAGGTGATTTTAGTGATTTCCATTTGGCCTTCATGGCATGAGTTGGGGAAGCAATGTGGAGACTTACAAGGGACAAGTCAGACCCTTACAAATTTGTGTTCAAAAGGATGAAATAAATACAGGAAGGACCTCTGGCCACATTAGCCCAGTGACACTGAAGGTGAACCTAGAACCCTATCTTCACTGGATTTCTGCAGGCTTCCATTTGGCCTGACAGAGGCCAATGGTGCTCTGGATCTACAGAATAAATGTCAACTCAGAGCTAGTGTGTGGGAATTCCTGACAGAGTAGGATTACATTGTACCAATTTGGACTTATGCAGGGCTCCTTCTGAAGGGAACCTATCTCCTCCCCCCACCCCCGACCCTTGGGGGTTCCTGAACCTGTTAATAGGAAAGGAGTTGAGAGACCAAATTCCTTTTGAAACAGATAAAGTAGTTCCTTTCTTCTATCTGTAATTAATTTCTAAGTATTTTTCTTGTTCTTTTTTCCCTATAAGTTCATGTTTCAATTTCATCTCATATATGCATTCATTACTTTGTCACTATAAAAGTATTAGCTTTTTGCCTTTAAAATTTATATTATTTCACATAACTCTCTGAGTTTCCTCTGGGTTTATTTGGTTAACTGGACTTCTCATTAGAGTCCTCTTAAAATATATTTAGCCATTTGTAGGAATTACTTTTCTTATGTTCTATATACTACTTGTTAGGTTTTTGATTTGCAAACACTGTCTAAGGTAAAATTTCACTTGAATGCAAATAAAATTATTTCATGAGTAACTTAAGCTGAAATTGCCTTTAAGATCATGCTTCCCAGGATCAGCGAGATAGCTCAGTGGACTAAGTGCCTGCTTAGGCAAGAGCAAAGACCAGGGTTTGATCCCCAGCACTACATGCGGCACCAGCCCCATCCCTAGGCACACTGAGCAGGCCATGGAGATCAGGCAAGGTGGGACATATCTGTAATCCCAGTGCTGAGGAGGCTGAAAACAGGAGGATCACTAGGAGTCTGATCTGTGTAGTTAGACACTATATCAAATACATATAAAAATAAAATAAAATAAAATCAGGCTTCCCTAAGTAGAAAATAGTTAATTAATGTATCTCTATAGCCAAAATTTTCATAAAGCTGATAATATTCAAATTTTCATTAATCTTTTTCCATTTCATGTATTAAGATCATTTTCATTATAATTTACAGTATATATAGTAGCTATGTAGATGGAGATAAAATATAATTGAATAAATATTTCTATGGGTATGTTATTTCCTATTATATATTAATTAAAATGAAAATTATAAAAGATAGAGAGAAGGAATAACTCAATAACCTACCCAAATCATTAACTAAACCACCATGTCGTGCAATTCACAAAAAGTGAAGCTAAAAAATGTATGTTAATATTTCCTTAGTTAACTTGTATAAATTAGTTAATATAATATACATATATACATATATATATTTATAGAAAGGCAGTTTTAAAAAATTGTATCTATGTCTGTAATTTTTCAAAATACTCAACATGAAGTAATCAACAGCAAAAGAGTTATAGCTTGGGTAGTATATTCTTGTCTCTACAGTCATATTTTGGGGTGTTATGTCCTATACCCTAAAATAACCATGTTGACTTATTATTTCACCTTCCTTTGTTTTGTTTTGCAGCCAATAGTATTGT